AACAGGGGACGCTGCTGGAACAGAAGTGTGGAGACATCAAGGTGGAATGCCCTGGGGGGACAGGGATACCGAGCGACAGGGGGTGCAGAGAGACACCCCTTCCCCAGCAGATGCCAAGGGACGTTTGACACTGGAGACATTAAGGAATGTGGGGACAGTGGACACTGAGGGACATCCCTGCCCTGGGAGTACGGGTACTGAAGGTACAGTACTGAAGGATGCCACCAGTCCTGCCACCCCGGGGGACACGGGAATGTCTTGGTGCCCTGGGGACACCAAGGCACACTCCTGGTGACACGGGGACAGTCCCCAGAGGCACCTGGTCGAGGATGTAGTTGCGCTTCTTGCGGGCAGCGATCTGGATGAGGCGGTTGAGGCACTGGGTGGCCTGCTGGATCAGCACGTCCCAGCGCCCCGCGTAGTTCCGCTGCCGCCGCAGCCCCATCCTGCAGCAGCCCCATCACCTGGGGACAGAGGGGACACGGTGACACCCCGGGGACTTGGACCTGATGGGGGGAAGAGCCGGGGTGGGGGGCAGTCATACCCTCATCTTGTCCATGATGGCATTGGTCCCCAGGATGTTGTATTTCTTGGAGGGGTTGGCAGCTGCGTGCTTCAGTGCCCAGGTTGTCTTGCCAGCGGCCGGCAAGCCCACCATGAGCAGGATCTGGGGACACAGTGGCAGTGTCACAGCCCTGTCCCTGTCCCCACCCCAGCAGCCCCTCATGTCCCCGTTCCCACCCCAGCAGCCCCGTGTCTGTCCCCACCTCACACTCAGCCTTGCTCTTGGGCCCCTGGGTGCCGCGGACACGCTCAGCCAGGGGCAGGGGCTGGAGCAGGGGGAAGCCGGGGGGCAGGGGGCAGAAGCTCTGGTCCCGCTGCCCGAAGTTGAACTCGATGGCACAGTTCTTCACCAGGACGTGGGGGAACAGCGCCCGCCCCCCCAGGGCCTCCTTGCGCACCCGGAACGCCACCCCCAGCCACCGCCCGTTCTTCAGGAACGACATCTCCACCTCCTCCCCACACTCGAAGTCCTGCAGGGGACAAAGGCCACGTGTCCCCCATGTTGGTGGGGACAGGCGCCAGATGTTCCCCCTGGTGGGGCACAGGGACCACAGTGGTGGGAAAAGCCTTGCTGTGGTGGGGCACGGGAACAGGGCTGGGGACGTCCCCCTCACCAGCGGGGGGGTCAGGAACAGAGGTGGGACATCCTCCACACCAGTGGGCCATGGGGACAGTGGTGGGTACAGCCCCCATACCAGCAGGACATGGTGGTCCCCCACACTGGTGGGACACAAAGGATGGTGGTGGGGCTTCTCCCACGCCACAGTGGCACACGGAGGGTGACAGGGATGCTCCCCCTGCCAGCAGGGCATGGGGACAGTGGCAGGGACTCACCAGCAGGCAGGCAATGACGTCGTTCTCAGCAAAGGTCTCCCCGTAATTTTCAAACTTGCAGTTGGTTGACTTCTTACCGGTGCCGCCGTAGCCGTAGGAGAACGGCTCCCCCCCCGGCGGGGGAACAAAAAAGCGCCCCCCCTGCCAGCAGGGCATGGGGACAGTGGCAGGGACTCACCAGCAGGCAGGCAATGACGTCGTTCTCAGCAAAGGTCTCCCCGTAATTTTCAAACTTGCAGTTGGTTGACTTCTTACCGGTGCCGCCGTAGCCGTAGGAGAACGGCTCCTCCCCTGGGGGGGACACAAAAAACCCCCTCAGACTGAGGAGAAACACACCCCCAAACATGAAGGTGGGGTCAACCAGACCTCTTACCCAGCTGAGTGCTGCAGGAATCCAGCGACCAGCCCACCCGGACAACGTGGGGGTCTGGCTCGGTAGAGGGCAGGTGCTTGACAGAGATTTCCTCGTTAACCTGGCGTGAAAGTACAGTTTGGGGACAGTGCCACCACCACTGAGGGGGAGGTGGGGACACACTGAGGGGGGTGGCACCTGCTCACCTTCTTCTCATTGCAGACACGGCCCTGGCGGGCACCGTAGGTGGCCCGGGCACCCGCCCAGAGGTAGGCGAACCCCTCGATGGTCAGGGGGTACCCGCTGTACCGGTCCCGAGCCACCTTGAAGTGCAGGTCACAGTTGTCTGGGGGGGAGGGGACACAAAATATCAGCTGTCAATGACAAATCAGGGGGCTTTACCCCCTAGCTGCAGCTTTTGGGGCAATTGGGGGGCTTCTTAACCCCCACTACCACTTTGGGGGCAACTATGGAGGTTCTCCCCACGCCTCCACCACTTTTGGGGGGCTTTCCCTCACCCCCAAGGCCACTTCTGGGGCACTCACAGGTATCAACAGCCACCAGCGTGTCGTCAAAATCCTCCTCCTCATCCTCAGCCGGCGGCTGCGGCGAGC